ATGTGTGCGTGTACTAAAAAAGAAAACAGTANCCATGGTTGAAACGTTTAAGAAAATAATGAAGAAGAGCAGATTTACGATTTGCATCTTCTCATAACTATACGTTCTCTGCTTTTACTTTTGAATTGCCTGTATATTTAGTCAATATCCAAACCGCATTTAGCTGTGTCTGTGCTAATTGCAGTTTGCGGGTGAATTTGTAATTCCATATTAGTTTCGTTCCTCAACTTTTCTGGATAAAACCTGTAAAACTGTCAAAAAGCAAAATTGCTCTCAGAGAAAGAGAGAAAAACCAAAAAGTACAGGAACGTCTTCGGGTAAAACTGGGCTTCATTTTTTGATTACATAGCAGCTTTTTATCATTTGCCGATCTGCTAAATTATATGCAAATACGCAAGCAAATTAACAAAAAAGCTTACAAACCTTAATATTTGTTCACTGCGATGTATTTAAGAAGGTGAAAATCAAGATGTTCAGTTATTTTGCTTATTCAACTTTAAAATTGTTTGAACAGCTGATGGTTTGACACTTTACTAGATTTTACCAGCGAAAATTCTTCGAGTAAAATCTTGCCACTTCTGACAAAGAGAGGATCGATTTTACTCTCCCATTTGTCCTCTACTTTACCAGAGAACGAAGTACGGGAACGCTTTCTGTTAAATTACTGTAAATTCTTGCAACTTCTTCCGAGTTAGGGAACGCAACTATTAATATGTATGTATGTATGTACAATAGGTTTGTTCACATACAACAAAGCAGTGCTGCTAACGCCATAAGCGCTTCTGCTCTTAAGGCCAAAACACAATAGCGCAGTGGCAGTGGCAGTGACAGTTTTTAAAATCAGCTGTTACTGCTAATATTGGCAGCCAATGCCGCAGCAAACACAATACGGCGTTGTCAGTGACTGCTTTTTTTGACATTCCCTTTTGTTTGTTTACATTTTTGTTGTTGCCTTTTAGGCTTCACTGACATCAACAGATGTTGGCTGCGTTTCATTTATGTCAAATTCAGCATGCGAAGTTTGCTGCGATGAAGGCAGTGGCAGTGAATTTAGAATTTGGGCTAAACTGAGCAGTACTGCTAGCTGCCACTGCTGTATTGTGAGTCGCTTCATTGGACACCACACTTTCTAAAAAACAGCTGATTTCGAAAAACTGCCGCTGCCACTGCCACTGCGTTATTGTATTTTGGGCTTTAGTGTTTTTGTAAAACGCTTCAGCATAGCAAGTGCGCCGTCATATCCCCGCGCGCGCGCTTTCAATCTTCTTTCCAAACCCCAAGCATTCACGCTGGCCCATTAGGAATATGCAAAACATAATTCCTATAATAATTGCTTGTGAAGTAATTTTTCTTTAAATATATGATGTCTACATCATTTTTTTAAGGTTGGCAGAAAATAAATGCACGAAAAATTAATAATTTTCAAAAATAGTGCCGAAAACAAGATAAAAGTGCCACAAAATTAAAATTTTTTAAGGCGTTTTAAGAACAATATATTCTTAGAAATAATATTTTTAAAATACACTGTAGTAATATAATAATTATTAATTAGCCAAATTATTACAGTACACTTTTATGAAGGATTCCTTAGACATTTACACAAATTCATAGTAAAATTACACAGAATTCCAATTACGGAGGGGAAATACACCCAAATATAGGTATTTTGACATTTTTACACACATATATGTACCTTTATGCGAAATAATGGCAGTGAGACATTTTGACCAGTTTCGCCTATTCTGTTCATTGATTATTTTTCGAATTATGTATTTTATATACAAGTTTAATTCATAATTTAATAAATACAATATATGTATGTACAAAAACCGTCAATTTACACTTTGCACAAGAATTATAAAAATTCAGCAGGTTTTCCCAACAACAAACTTTGAATTCAGAATTTCTAAGGAGATTCCAAGTTTTCAATTTCATGCATTTTTGACGTAGAATACGTCTTACCTTAAGGTATGGGGGCTATGTTCAAATGTTGTAGTTGTAATTTTTAGAGCTTCACAAAAACGCTTATTGCACGAGAACTAATAAAGCGATTTCAAAGAAAAGTGTGGCGTTTCAAAGATAAAATTCCAAACCTGTCGACAGATTCATTTTTGTAAATAACCAATTCGGTTTCTGTC